ATTATACACGCTTTCCTGCAAAAGCTTGAGAGCTTACGCAAGCACTTACCCGTTCAAGTATTATGTATTGGTAAGTCTTAGTTTTAATCGCACTTCCCACGGATTAAGAATAAAAATCTAAGCGATAGGGTACCTAAATCAGTACCAATTGCTTGAGGAATGATACTTTAAATTCAGATTAATGAAACTTGGAATAGTCATATTTTTTTCCTATCGAAGCTACGATGCCTTGAACAAACAGTACTTTATTGTGATGATTCAAGATACCCAATAAATTAGTTAGTGAGCAAACGGAGTGCTTCATGAAATAGCAGTCACCAGAACCGTTCAAACCCAACTAAAATGTCGCATAAATCGGTTTGCGATGTTTTGGAAGCTACCCGGACTAAAAGTTTCTGCAGCCGTTTCCGATTTGAGTGATTCATATTCGGCTTGGGCCGCGGCCCGGCCGAGTTGCCTTGGGAGCCAGTGCCAACTGTTGCGGTGTTTCGGGGACGGGACGGCGGCGGGGGGGGGGGGGGGGACTTTCTTCTCTGGCAGCGGCGGCGGAGGCGGCGGCGGCGCGTCGCGACTGCGTGTTGCTCCCTCCGACTCGTAATTGAGTCAGGTCAGGTACGCAGTCCGGCCTCCGACGCAAGACAAATGTGAAAAGTTAGATCCCTTCGAAAAGTTAGCTCATTTAACTTGCAGGTCACTTTGCAATGCAGATTTACGTTGGAAGGCTGACTCAAAGACGGTCGCCTAGCGGGCTGAACGGTAAACGCACGGCGCACAAAGCAAACGTCCCAAATAATTGAGGTAGGCCGGCGTAAAATGCCAATTATTGGGCTGGTCGGATGACACCTGGTTGGCGGCTGCCTGCTCGTCCCTGGGGCGTCCATTATACGGCGCGGCGCCCGCTCCGGCGGCGCACACGGCCGCCACTTAGCATATACCACGGCCGACGGCGCCGGCGGCAGCGACGGCGCGCGCGCCAGTGCCGGCGCCGGCGGCGATCCCGCATCGATCCAACCATTAAACTCACACGGCCTGATCGCTATTGACGACAAAAAACGACGAAGGGAATAAATGGCGAGCCGTAACTTTTCTCATTCGGTGTGTGCTGAAATGGCGGCTTTCAGCCGGTCGCCGGTCGCGGCGTGGCCGCGCCATATCCGGTATAGGTACAGTGACCGGGGGGGGGGGGGGGGGGAGGTACCCGGCTCCAGGTCACCTAGTGGCACGGCTCCAGCGCAGGCTGGACAGGCCTGCCGCTATCGACACGGTCTGCCCCTGGGCTGGTGCGTGGCGGTCACATCCCGTCCTCTGCCAGCCTGTTTCCCCTCCGCAACAGGTGCCGTCGCTGACAACATCAAAGGCGTTCAGTGGTGGACCGCGGCGCCGCCGGCGACGGCTGGCGACGAGAGGCGGCGGGGTGACTGTACCGGGTAGATTTACCAGCTTATAATCTGACTACGCATTACCAGCTGACTGTACCGGAACATGGTACATAAAATCAGCATTAGCTGTGCTGATTATATGCAGCAGTCCAGCTGACTACATACACCAGCTGGCTGGATCGGCTGACTGTGACGAGAAACCGGACCATGCTGACCGTCGACTCCACGACGGCACATCATCTCGCCTGATGTCCGCCTGACATCAGACAGGCGTGTGACGGCGTGCTGACACCAGACAGGCGTGTGACAGGGCTGGAGACAGCGCCGGGAGTGCGATGCACCCCGCCTGCACGTTGCAGTGCGCTGCAACCGTCCCGACTCACACACCGACCCATTGTCTGCACGACCAAGGTCCCGCGGGCGACGCTAAAAACGGCTCGGAGGCGACCCGCTGTTCGTAAGAACGTGAGGTCGGTGGTGGCGTGACCCACAGCCCTGGACTGCGGACAGTGGGCCATCACGCTGCCATGCAGGATTACAGGCTGAAACGTTGGCAAGCTTGGAGGCTCGTGGTGCGGTGCACTATCGCTATCCACCGATTTTTATTATAGTGAAAATATCAACTCGCTCAGCTCTCTGTCTCGTGTCGGTTTTCACCAGACCTGCTGTGATCAGCGATACCGAACTGACCCCGTCGGAGCAGTCTGGCCGATGGTTTGACCGGGCTGGGTCGCCCGTCCGACACAGCGCGAGGGGACTCGAGCGGTGGACGAGCCGCCTCCCATTGAGTGGCCGTCGTTTTTGTTCTCCCTCGGCGGCCAGCCGAGCGGCGCACTCCTCAGTCTCCATTTCTGCCGCGGGCGATATTGCCACCGGCGATGTATCGCCGAGGCGACTGGGAACGCAGGCCATCGTCTGCTGGTGGGCTACGTCCCCGTTCGTTTCAGATATAGCGACCTAACAAAAAGCGCGACTGATGGGCTGCGGTCTTAGACCAGGGAACGATTGGCAGGGCGGACGGCATTATACCAACGTCTTCGGTCATGTCACGGGTAGGAGGGGTAGGAGAAACGTTATCTCTGTAGGTCCATGTCGCAAGTGGACGCTGGAAACAAGGCCGCCTGATGGAAATTAAGCAGTTTAATCCGAAAGTTTTAGCCGGGAGAAAATCAATTACCTAGTTATTGCGTAGTAGCATACGGATTCTGCTAGGTTCGGTATGGTATGGACTCAGTGAGGTCAGGTCTGGTACAAACTCTGTGAGACTCGGTCCGGCACACACCGCCCGGCTGCAGGTTCACCCGACCAACCTATCGTTCAGCAGCTCACCCGCCGACCGGCTGACCCGCTCCCATTTATCCCACCCGAACCACTAACGATGTCAATATTTCGCCACCAATTCGGACCGGCGTCGAACGCCAGTGATTTTTTCTTTCAACGGCTGGCCGCTGCGTGCCCGGGTGCGTTTCAGCGCCGTCCGATCGGCTTTAGTTGCTGACGGTAGCCAATGACGACCTCTGCAGGCTCGAAGCCGTGGCCCCTTTATTGCCAATATCGGCAGCGAATGACCCATTCGGAGATGGCCCCCGATGAAATCCAACGTTCAGCATGGTGGGTACTCATCGGTAGATGAGCGTATAATTTATTTAGCACAATTTACTAAAGCGAATAAACTTTTTAAAATTGATGTTGGATCGGTTAACAGCCCTGAACTTAATTTTCCATTTTCGACGAATTATGTAGGTACAGCTAATCTTGACAGACTTCTACGTTATGGCTGACGATTTATGCCATGCTGATCTGTCACATTACTTTATTATTTCATCCATTCACCAGAATCCGTCACCTCTTTTTATTTGCCCGAAGTTTGACATTTCTTGTTACAGTAGGCATAAGACGGGATTGCAAAAATCTAGAATGACAAGCTTGTCTCCCGATTAGCAATGGCATCAAAACTGGCCTGATGTGCTGACCGGTAGAGCATCTCGGTCTGTTGGTTTCGACAGTGCGTTTGTCGGAGTGTGCGTGCGTCCAACAGTGCGGCAGTCATTTCGGTCTGTTGGTCTCGACAGCGCGTCTGTGCGACAGTCGTCCAGTCAGAGCTATGACGACCGATGAGCTATAGTCCGTTTCTGCTCGCTTGTCCGGCTTTCAGATGGCCGGTCTCTCAACGTCCCATCCGACGTCCTTTTCCTATCGATTGCCGCTCCAGAGATATGACAGCTACGAAACGACCATGTTTTCTGCGAGTAGATGGAAGTTTACGGCCCAAGTTGAGGAAATATGAGACATCGTGATTAGGCCCGCTGGTGGAAGGGTCGAAGGGTCGCGGTAGTGATCGGTCGATGACAACAGATCATCTTTTTGAAGTCGTGCGGCGCGTGTCTCCTCGAGTCGGTGCATTTCGAGCTAAGAAAGGAATGGTCTCAAACCGAGCTCATCAGCACTCCACCGGCCAGCAGGGAGCGTTCGACCGAGAGCCGGCGCCCTAGCCGCGACGTAACGAGCAGTCCCTTCCAGCCGATCGCTCGCGGCCAAATCAAGCGAGCGAAAAGACGAAAAATGGCGCGAGAAGAGGTCGGAGAGGCTGGGGACGATAGCCTTTCTCGATTATTATCGGCGCCAAAGATAAGAAAAGTGCGTACAGGCAGTCAGCTCACGAAGTCGGACGACTTAAACCGCATTTTCCAACAGAGATTGGGTAATTTTTAGTTGGCCTCGTTGGCATGCACCGCGTTAATCTTCAAAGTCATTTTGGCATGCTACTTTTGATCTAATTTTCTGCGGCGGTGAATCTGCGGCTGGTGCGGCGCCGCTCGGCCAGTCGGCGGTTCAGCGGGGCCGGCGAGGGCACGTCACCCCGGTCCGGCCGCGCCCTGAGGGCCGCCGCGGCGAATCAATACGGCGCCGCTCCTCCGCGGCGGCCGCCGCGCCAGCCGGCAGCCCCTTCGCGCTCTGATTAAAACCGAAAGGCTTCAGCGCGCCGGCCGGCCGCGCACTCGTCAAATGAAACTAATTTCGCCGCACCGAAAACCTTTACACGTAATTTGCCGTTCATTTAAATCGCCAATGATGGGCCGTAAATTTCGACAGGAAATGAGATTCAGGATTTAGCTGGCGGCCGCGCGCTCGACGGCACTGGGCGACGACTCGGCTCAGGAAATGTGACCGTCGTCACCGTCTGCCCGGAGCCGTGATACCCGCCTCAGCGCCCGTCAGCGCTGGAAATTACCCGCAGCTGTAACTCTGCCACTGCTCGCAGCACCAGCGGTCACCAGCGAGCTGATTAAATGATTGGCCGAGTGAGCTGAGCGGCGCATCAGCACAGTCGGCCGCAGCGCACCGCAGTGACAGGCCAATGCCGGCGATGACCGCCGAAGCGCTCAACGCGCACGCAACTTCAAAGATGGATTGACGTTGAATTTAATTAAAGGCTGTGAGAGCCAGCAACATATGCATAGCCGCGGCGTTCGATGTGATGCCGCATCAAAACTGGAAATCAAAAGAATCCGGCAGACAGGATGCGAAGCTCGCGCCTCGCACCACACGGTTCGGAGAGTTATCATGCAAAAGCAGGCGAATATTGCGAGATGGTGCGCGTTACAGGAAAAAAAGCACGACTACAGATGCTGTCAGTTTATTACGCCTTTTGCTTCTTGATTGAGAGCATGCCGTTACGGAAGAACACGAAACAGAAACCAAAGAAGTGCAGCTGCGATAAAACATAACATCCGAAAGCTCACAGGCTTCCCAATTAAAACACAGACACTCAATATGACGGCGCCTCGCTGCGTCAGCGGGCGACTCGTGCATGCCACTCACATAGAGAATACCTCACATGCACCCCAACAACATATCTCGGCCACGGAGTGTGCTTCAATCGCAATAGAGACCACATGCGACGGCGGGCTGCTGGCGGCTCCTCACAATACAGTGAGGACAAAATGGGAGCCCGCCCTATAAGACCTCCCGGGCGGACCTCCCTATAAGACAGACCTGTCACTCGTGGGAAGCCGGACAGACCCATTATTTGACGGTCACAGATCCAGACCTGCGGCCGCATTCATCTGTCACCCGCAGACCGGAGCGGCTGGCCGAGGTTCGGCCGGGTGGGCAGTCCGGGGGCCCATCGGGCTGCGACATGCGGCGCACATGCAGGCGAACTACGTCCTCGGGTCGGTACTCACAAAATGTCTAGTCTACCAGCGGCGGGTTGAGGTGTTGCCAGTGCCGCGGCCCGGGCCCGCTGACGTAGCCGGCGCCGTGGTGACGCGCATCACCCGGGAGACCCCGGTGGTGCGCCGCCGCCGCTGCCGCCGCCGCCTGCGCTGCCGCCGCCTGGTTGAACGTGAAGTCCAGGTTGCCCTCCATGCTGAGCTCCTGCTTGATGATGTTGTCCACGTCGCAGTCGAAGCCGCCCTGGAAGGTATCCAGGTCGAGGTCGACGGGCATGTTGTTCTGCTGCAGCAGACCCATGACGTTCGACATGAGCTGGGAGGGTGTCTGCGCCTCCTCGGAGCGGCCCGGCGCGCGCAGACTGCCCCCGCCCACCGAGGGCGGCTGCTGCGCCTGGCTGCTGACGGGCGGCGGCGGCGGCGGCTCGGCGAACGCGCCGCCGCCGAACCCGGCACCCGGCGTGTAGCTGCCGCCCGACGACGACGACGAGCTGAACAGCGTCGAGGGCGACGCGCCGAACGACGAGACGGGCGAGCTGTAGCTGGGCGAGCCGGCGAACGGTGCGCCGCTGCTGACCGGCAGGCCGCTGTGGTAGAGACCGGCCGCCTCGGCCGCCGCCGCTGCCGCTGCCGCCGCCGAGTGGTACTGCTCCACCGTCTGACTGGGAGACATGCTACTGACGCTGGCCGCCGGGGACACCGACTGAGAAACACGGGGACAAGGGGGACGGCAGTCAGCACACAGAGAAGTCGATATCGAAGCGTGCTGACACAGACATTGCTGATGACGATTGACTCTCATGCAATGTGAACAGCAGCGACAAGTGCAACACTATCAACGACTTATTGGATTTTACTTGACCGATTATTAATGGAGCACGCTTTTTGCAGTCGTATAAATATGGGAACGCATGCTTTCGGGTCGGTGCTTCTGAAATTCCAATACAGCTCGAGTGGAAGAAAAATCAGTCATTACAAACCCAGCCAGGCCAGTCCTAGCCTAGATGACCGTCTACGTGAGCCAGGTCAGTCCTAACCGACGCGACGGCGGGAGTGAGGTAGGTCAGGTCCAGCCGGTAGGAGTGAGGTAGGTCAGGTTCAGCCGACGATAGGAGTGAGGTAGGTCAGGTCCAGCCGACGGTAGAATTGAGGTAGGTCGGGCCCAGCCGACGGTAGGAGTGAGGTAGGTCAGGTCCAGCCGACGGTAGAATTGAGGTAGGTCGGGCCCAGCCGACGGTAGGAGTGAGGCAGGTCAGGTCCAGCCGACGGTAGAATTGAGGCAGGTCAGGTCCAGCGGACGGTAGAATTGAGGTAGGTCAGGTCCAGCCGACGGTAGAATTGAGGTAGGTCAGGTCCAGCCGACGGTTGAATTGAGGCAGGTCAGGTCCAGCGGACGGTAGAATTGAGGTAGGTCAGGTCCAGCCGACGGTTGAATTGAGGCAGGTCAGGTCCAGCCGTCCGTAGAACTGAGATAGGTCAGTTTCAGCTCAGCCGAGCTGCCGCGAGATCGCGCGGTGCCATCTGCAAGTGGACTGCAGAATGGATGCCATCCTGGGATCGAGCCGTCAGCAGCGACCGACGTGCCATCTGGAGGCCAATAAAACCCATCGCCTTCCCCTCTCTAAATCCAGAATGGCCTCTGGAAGTCCGGAGCAATTCTACAAACTGCGGACATTAATAACTTTTATGTCCGTTCGTATTACTTGAGGCAGAGCTGGATATTACGGTCGTTTGAGTTACTGCCGTCGCAAACTGACGAGAAATGTATAGGTCATCATAAATAAATTCTAGATGTGCGTCGCATATTTCATGTGGCATCGCATGAAATAGAAAAATAGGAAAAAGAATAGGTACAAAGGTTCAGGAATGGGATAATGATGTAAAAGAGAGAAGAGAAACGAAAAGAAGAGGACAGACCATGTGAAAGATTGTCAAATAGGTATGCAAAGTTTTCCGAGAGCATAGGTACCTACCCTAACGTTATACCTAACGATTAGCATGCTTGATAAACGATATTTCTATTTTTATTGAATATGTTTTTATTAAACGCATCAAAGAACGATACCGAGACTGAACATGGAGCTCAGGTTAACCCTCGCCCTGGCAGGGCATTTTTCATAACACGGCCTGGCAGGGGGGGGGGTCGATGCGACCCCCCCCCCCTCGCGATTGGCTCCTATGGCACCTAGAAATACCAAATTTGGTAGGTAGGTGGGCCCCCTGGATTTCTCGCCCCTGTGCAAATTTGGTTGCTCTAGGTCAATATTTAGGGGAGTTTTGGGGGTATAAATGTAGAAATTTCGCTAAAAACAGGTGAAAATTTTTTCGCTTATAACTTTTGATCTAATTAAGATAAAGAAAAAAGAAAGGCACCAGTGAACTCAGCACGTCAAGGCGCGTCGAATGATATACTTTCAAGCTTGCTTAAGTGTACTTAAAGTTTTTCTTAAATTTTAAGTAAACTTAAATTAATAAATTAAGTTCAAGTTAACCTAATTGCAGCATATCGCATATCATTCGATTTGGCTGATCACCGGGAACACAATGGTACCATTTTTTAAGCTCTAGCGTCATTATGTGCCATGTTATTGGCAAAAACGTCATTTGACCTCAGTTGACCTCATTTGACCTGACCCATGGATAAGTACACCAAACAAAGAAGCACCAAGTGACCTGCTGTTGAGTACCGTGGTTTCAAAGCACAAAAGTGATAGAACGAAGCGGATATCTCCAGTATTTTCCGAAATTAGTATTTTCCCATAGGCTTAACATTACGACGTAATGACCTCTAACTGACCTCAGGTCAGTGACCTCAAAAAAGCCGGACTACATGTTATACAACTCGGTGAACTTAGCACATCCTGAAAGTTTGAAGGAAATCAGTCGAAAACTGTGAGTTGGACAGGTGCAAAAAGAAAACTGAAATTTGACCATGACCTTGTACCGGTTTTTCTGACCTGGTGACCTGACCCAAGGTCACCCGGACCTGAAATTTTCAGGTCATATGTAAAAAGGTTGCCCCATAGGCTGTGCCAAATTTGGCGGCGCGTTTTTACGCTATCTTCGGAAAACCTTAGGGGGGGTCGCATCGACCCCCCCCCCCTGCCAGGGCGAGGGTTAAACTCGGTTCGGCCATATTTGAAGTTCTTCTTTTTTTCCAAAAGTTTCGGTAGCATTTTATTTTTTACTTACAATGGAGAGCATAGAGTTGCTAAATAAAATCAAAACGAAAGTAAAACGCAATTAATATTTTTCGTTGCTTGCGTCTTATCGGGAACCTTTCGAAAACCCCTACAGAATTTGACGTTCCCAGCAGGCTTCTGTAGTGCGTCCGGTACCCTCAACTGCAGACCGTTGTAGTGTTGCATTCTCTTACCTGTCACCTGTTGTAGTGTTACATGATATCACCTGCAGGCCTTTGTAGTGTTACATGTTTTCACCTGCAGGCCGCTGCATATAGTGCCTGGTAAACTCACCTGCAGGCCACTGAAGTGCTCAGTGCCCTCACCTGCATGCTGCTGTAGTGCCCGTTATTCTCACCTGCATGCCGTTGCCGTTATTCTCACCTGCATGCCGTTATAGTGGTCGCCGGGCTGGTCGGCCGGCCGGCCGCTCGGGCCCGCCATCAGGCCGCCCGGGGAGAAGGGTCCGCCGGCCGGCGCGCCGCCGCCGTACATGCCGTAACCGTTGATGCCCCGGTAGGCCAGCGGCACGGCCGACTCGAACTTGAGTCCGCCGTCGATGGATTCGGCCAGCTGCTCCTGCTGGTACGAGTCGAGCCGGTGTCGGTACGGCCAGGCGGCCAGCGGCGACAGCCGGCCGCACGAGGAGGCCGTCGAGCCGGCGCGCTGCCGGTAGTCGCCCGGGGCGCCCAGGTAGCCGCCCGCAGAGTGCAGCGGACTCTCCGGGAACCGCACGTCCAGGCCGTCACCCAGCGAGGAGGACGGCGACGGCGTGTGCTCCATGCCCGAGCGCAGCGCGTCCACCTTCTTCTTGGCGCGGCCCCGCTTCTTTTCGTACTTGGAGGTCTCGAGCGTGGCTCTCCGGCGCGTGCATTTGCCTGTCTTGGCGTCCGGGTTGATCATCCACCAAGAGGACTTGCCGGTGCCTTCGTTCTGCACCTTGACGAAGCGGCTGTGTAGCGACAGGTTGTGCCGGATCGAATTCTGAAACAGATCGAATACAGGCGTGTCAACGATGAAGAATGTAAATGTGTGCTTCGGGTTCTGAGCACCATACTGTAAACATCTGAAATTTTATTTTATATCCATCTAAACTCGCACATTACATCAATCGGTAGAAGCGGTAGTCGCACATTACGTCATCAATACTTTCACAAGCGGTCAGTTTCACCACCGGGTTCAAATCTCACAAGTGATGTCACGCGATACATAGCGTTTTGAACCAGAGCGGCCCGGCAGTTCTGTAACGGCACACTCGATCGGCCTTGACCGGTCACCGACACCTCGCGAGCCCGCTCTCCTTTCGACGCGCATTGCTGTCATCACACCAGTCAGCAATGCCCGTCCACTGCCTCGTGACGTGCAGCGGGTTCGCGAGGCATGCCCTTCGGCACGGTAATGATGGCGAATGGTGGAATGATGATAAAATTGGAATGGTGACAAGCGGTGGAAAATGTGGGAAGCGTTGCGGACTAATTAACCAACTTTTAGTTGAGGTAGGTCAAGTCTGGTGATGTTGAGGCAGGCTCTACCGGAGGAGGGGGCTGTTCCAGCCTATGCCTGGACGCTGATGAGAGCCCTGTCGGGGTAGCCCCTCAGCTTAACGCTGGTCGCTCCCAGTTGAGGCAGGCCCTGTCTGAGCGGGTGGCTCAGCGCTCAGCTCAGCGCTCAGTTGCGGTAGGCCCAGCGCCGCGCTGATGTCATCTCGGCTGATCCGGTGTGCGTGAGTTGGCGCCGGGCCGGACCGGGTCGGGTCGGCCCCAGTCACCGACCAAACCGAGCGAGTGCAACAGGAAACCCCGTCAGGCGGCGGCGCGGCGCGGCGCGCCCTTGGAGCGCCCTTGGCTGGCTGCCGAGCGGCGATTAAGGCTGGATTCATACGAGCGGAGCCGGCCGAGGAGCTTGCGCAACGGGCTGCCGTGCCGCCTGGTGACTAGTGAGAGCCAGCAGCCGGCAGTCGGCAGCCGGCACCTGGACGCTGCCACTGCGCTGACGCACGAACCGGGGCAGATGACGGGGCAGGGCCGGCAGACGGAGTGGCAGTGGCGGCAGACAGAGGGAGCTGGAATTATTGTCCTTTTGCCAGCCTACCCAGCCTTCCGCGTTCTGCACGCACCGGCTCAATTGCCCACTGTCCACTGACAGCAGCGAGCGATGCACTGAAAAAGTCGGTTGTCACTCGTCAGGTCTCAGAACCATCAAGCCCTCCCGAGGGACTAGACTGCTGCACAACTGGAGCTACCAGCTGCCAGCCACACAGAGCGGCAGCAGTCATCTGCCAGCTGCCTGAGCTGCGACCGCTAGCTGCCAGCCAGCCGGAGCTGCAGTAGTCAACTGCCAGCTGCCAGCCAGCCAGAGCTGCAGCAGTCACCTGCCAGCCACCCAGAGCTGTAACTGCCAGTCAGCCAGAGCTGCCATTGCCAGCTGCCAGCCAATCGGAGTTGCAGCCGTCAGCTCCTGCACCCTCCCGGAGCTGCAGCTGTTAGTTGACACCTTTCCCGAGCTGCAGCCGTCAGTTGACAGCTAACACACCCACCCGAACTGCAGCCTTCAGTCGACACCCACCCAATGCTGCAGTGTCGGGTGACGGTATCGCGGTGATGACGTCACAGAGCGATGGCGTCACCGTTCGATGACGTTATCGTTCGATTAATCTCCGGAACAAAATTGGTAACCAACAAAATCGCCTACACCACTGAGCTTTTCATTTTCCGAGCTTCTGTATTTAAGTGGTTCGCCTCAAAAATATGAATTGTACATATTTTTTTTGTACAATTATCGTACAATTGTACAATATGTCAATACAAATTTACCACCTACCGCACGAACAATGATTAATCTCCGAACCTTCATAGCTCTCCAATATTTAAAACGGCCAAGCTTGGGTAATTGGGTCAGATGTCGGCAGCTAGCCTCCGGCGCGGGCGCCGTGTCACGTCATCGAACCTGCATAAGAGCGTCCACTTCACAGTCCACCGTCCACCGTCCCTAGTCCACAACCCTCAGTCCACAGTTTTCGCCCACATCCCACAGCCCCCATTTCTCCATCCTCATCCGCCAGCCCCTCAGGCCAACCCATGGGCGTGCCCGTTGCAGCGGGCCGCGTGCTGCTCGCCCGCTCTGGCCGTGCAGCACGACGTCTAGCCGTCCATAATTGGGGCACGCTCTGAGTTACGGCCGACCGCGGCAGGCCGAGCGGCGCGGCGCGGCCGTCGGTTGCATCACGCCGTCCGACCTACCCCACCACGGACGGCAGGGAGCCAGGCCGCCGCCTTGGCTGCGGAGCGCCGCGCCGCGCCGCCCCCGGAACGTTCTAACTTCGAGCGGGGGCGAGAGGCGGTCTTTGCAAACAGGAGCGCGCGGTGCCAGTGTCATCTAACCGTTTGTCATTCCAAAGTGAAGTTCGATAATTACCTATGCTGATAAACTTAGCAATATGGACAACTGTCAGAATCGGATGACATTAATTTTATCACCCGGCACGCCGACAGACAGAGGTCCACCGTGTCACAGCCGGTACGGACGGGTGACGTTATCAGGGTGATCGCATTTCCTGTCGGTAACCTATCCCGCAGTTGCAGCATCAAAATCATATCTGAATAATCGGCACATCAGCCATGCTACCTACTACTACCGACGGTTGCTATAGTTGTTAGCAATACTATCAACAATGCGTGTCTTTTTACATTTTTTGGACCTATTAGCAGTGAAGCCCTACAACACTCAATTTCCAGCCAAGTACCCATGCGACGTTTAAACGTCCGTAGAGTCGTCAATTTCGTGTCCTCGGCGGCGACACGACTGCGGTCAGCGCCCCTCCGGCCCCTGGAGGCCATTACAGGGTTCCACTGGCCGGCGCAACGAACGCCACAACCGGCTACATACGACATTAAACTGAGCCCACGGCATGTCTGCGGTCGACGGCCGTCGGCCCGTCGCGTCGACCGCCGCCCTACGGTAGCGTGTCTACTGCCTTCCGTCGCCGCTGAATTCACAATGAGCGCAAATGGATTGCCATGCGGTAACGGAGTGGACACAGCCCCGCCGGCTAGACGTACGAAAGGGGACGGCAACCGGTTTTTTTTCTGTGGCGGTGCCATATGCGTAGAGCTGGTATGATTCGTAGTAGGCATTGCAGATCCTGCAATCCAATCACGCCTTCAGAAGGTCTCCGAATTTCTCATGCAAACATCACAGCGCATAGGCAGCCCAGTTCAGTCGGTTCTTGGAACTTGTGCGTTCCCGTCTGACGGTAAAGTTGGCTGCCAATATTGGTCTGCGAATAATTTCAGCGACCGAAGGCGACCGAGTATGGGAAGGGGATGAACCACCTGCTGTACCAATGGAGCTAGCATCATGTCAGTGTCCTGACCGGCGCCGCCCCGGTCCTCATACTGTACAGTGTACTCGGTCTGAGTTCTGCAGACACCGCTATTGGCCCGATCACGGCTCTCCTGTCGTTTCCGGCCCCAATCTGCGGAACTAAGCTCCGGGCCGGTACCGCGGCAGAAATCGGCGAAGCAGGTCCGCCTGCTGACCTGAGATAAGGCAGAGCCCAGACGATGAACGGGAGAGGGGAGGGAGCGGGCCGCTGCGGGAGCGCTGTGGATGCTGAGACCTTGCACCCCGATCGGTGCGCCGTCACCAGACGTCACCGGTGACGGCGGACGTCAGTGGCTGTGACGTCAAGGCCAACAGTCAGTGACGGCTGATCGCCCGGGGCGCAGCACCGTGCACTGTGTGTATGTGTGTGTGCGCAAACGTCAGCCAGCTAACTGCTCTAGATGTTGCAGGGACGCTGCTGCGCCCTGCAGCCGCTATCATTCGGCAGAGGCAGCAATAGCAAGAGGAGAGTTTGGGAGCCAGGAGCCTTTGAAGAGTCTATGAGGAAGAGACGAAAAATAAGTTTACCCTCATCGCAATGTAGCAGCAAATGTCGAAACTATTCACTTGTAAATATCCTGCAAAAGGAAAGTGGGCAGCTCCAGACATTCAGCCTATGATAAGCCCCAATAGTGCGCAGCACCGCTGCAGTTGCGTGCGGTGGCCCACGCGCGCTCATCATTCGTCTCGCTACCATTATGTCTGTCGGCGCATCAGACTTCTCCAGAATGGATATGCATGAATCACCCCACCGGAAAATACGCATACGGCAAATAGTTAAATATATAACTGCCTCTGCAAACTCGTCAGTTATACGGCAGACTCGTTGCAGTATAATTTCGTTATATAACTGACGGGAGCCTGCAGAGGATACACGGTCAGATATAACCGAGCAGGCGGCTGTTCGGCGGGCCGGCGGGTCGCTGGGTCGGTCAGCGGGTCTTCGGTCGGGTCGACGGGTCTCCGGAGACGCTCGGCGCCCCCGAGGTGACCGGCTCCCATATTGGGCGGCATTATCACCCGGGCGGCGTCGGGCGAGCCGCCGTCGATTGGAACGGTGCAGAATGGCCGCGCCAGTTATCGCATAGCAGAGCCGCTCTGTCCGGCCGACGGCCGACGGTGGATGGACGGACGGGCAGCGAGGAGGGAGAGAGGCTGGGAAGTGGAGTGAGAGAGGCTGGACTGATGGAAAAGAGGAGATGTGGACTGGGACTTCGGGACGAACAGTGTGAATTGGGAATGAAGTCGGAAGGGGGACAAAAGTACGAAGACTGGAAGATGATGGTTGGGCTAATTGTTGGGAAACAGCGGACTCGTAAGCAAAAAGGAAATGTCCGTTGTTAAATGTAGTGATTAATGCATTTTGCAATGCATCTTCAGCGCAATCCTGATGTTACGAAAATGAGTCGTGTCTATGTTGCAGATAATTGGTGCGGATGGTTAGTGAGACTATTCCGGTGCGGCCCGTCAGTCAGGGTCGGGCGGCGGACGCCACAATCGGCCCCGGTTAATGGATGAGCGCGGCGGGCGGGGCGCGGGCGGCCGACCGATTTCCCCAGCGGCGTCCGTAATGAGTCTGTCACAGCTGGCGCCGGCCGCGA